AGTGCATGTTTAAGATCATTTTTCACCGCTTTAATGCTATCATGTGCGTATTTTAACTCGGTGGCTTTAAAGCTGTAAATATTTATTATGTGTAAGTGTTAGGATAAATTCTAAACTTAATTAAGTTTAACACTAACCTTAGGTCTGATTCCAATTTTTTGTTTGCTGCAACTAACTCCGATGTATCAGATCCAGAATTATCTGTATTAGTATTATTGATATTTTTTTGTTCGAGCAATGTATGTGCTCTTATCTTATATTGCTGAAATTCTGATTTAATTTGTGTTGTTTGTTGTGTTGCTTGTCGAAGTTTTGATTCCTATCATAAATTAAATTTTAATCAACCTTAACTGAAGATATATGCGCATAAAAATCATTAAATGTACCAGTTGCTCTATCTGTGCATTATACATAGCCGCTTGACTATGCATTTCTGTTGTCAACCTTTCCATCGATTCTATTATAAAAAGATATATCAAATATATAAACCTTAAATCTCTTAAAAAATTAAACAGTTAAAAATGTATATTAACTTCGGCTTTCATCTGCTGTTGATTTTGTCTTTTGGTCTTTCTCTTCAAAACTTTCTATATTTGCTTTCAACTCTTCAATCTCTGTATTTTTTGATGCCACATTTTGTCTTAATTCATTTATAGTTTTGTTTGCGGCATTAAATATTCCTGCAATATAAAATTGGAATGAACAATGGTAGTGAGAAAAAAAATGTTTATATTATCATGATGTGTATAACATACCTCTCATTTTCTTCAGTTTTTCTTCATATTCCATTTTTGACTTTTCTAACTCAGCTATAAAAATAATTTAAAAATTTTGTGGTATATGGCCCTTTAATATATTATATACATATAGTTTATTTATATTTATTTATTAATTAATTCATTTAAATAATGATCGTTTTATACCTGTACGTTTGTTCACAAACTCTTGGGCCCTGGAAAGCTCATTTTGTTTTTCATTTAATTGAATTTTTAGATCTTTAACCTATTTCAAAATGCTTTTATGTTATAAATAATATCAAAGTAAAAATCAAGTTTGACATAAACGAAATAACACCTCTTCTTCCAAAGTAAAATTCCGACTCTCCAATTCGTCAAGTCTGCTACCTTTTGAACCACCTGTCGGACTCTTACAAAATGATAATAAAAATTATATCAGGATGTCTTTTCAAGTTATAATTTCGTATATCATGATAATTCATACTTCAGTCCTCATTTTTGATCGCAAATTTTCTAACTTTTGTTCTAATCGAGAAGAATCGTCAACTTGTTTATCCATGCTATTTTTTAATTGAAGTTAGCAAACAATTTATAAAAGGAAAATTAATGTTTGATGACTTACAAAGTTTTAAATTTTCTTCAGAAATGTATAAATATTATTATATGTGAGAATCGAGTATTCCAGAACTTTCAATCGATTAATTATGATTTTGAATAAAGCAAAACTTTATGTTTAAAAAAAATCACTTTACATACAATGTCACGTAGAAAAATCTTCTAAAATGCTAATCAGGATTTAGTGTTTCAAATAAAAAAGTATTAAAGAATTAACTTTTCGGAGTCATTATAAATTAAATAATTATCAGGTGATTCGTGTTGCATCACTTTATTTTCCATATTGATATTCGTGTTCTGTATGACAAAAAAAAATTTTTTTATCGGTTTTTAAGATCTGTTTGTTCAATTTCTAACACCCAAGTCCTTT